TAACGAGTAGCGCACGAATGTTTCTCATTTATTATTGACAGGAACATCAAAAAATTAATTAGTTAATTTTCTAACAATTGTGGAATTTATATTGAAACATTTATTATTGATATTTATAATATAACATCTTTGGTAATATATTGCAATAACTAACTGGAAGACATTCATTATATTTTATTTTCACATTATGCCATATTAATTCCTGTGGTAATCTGTAATATTTTACGCATATTACTTGTACGAAGTCAATCCAAACAGCTGAATGAACCAGGTCTGATAAATTTACTAGTTGATACCATATAAAACCACATAAAAATTATGATTAGACCTCGTAATTATACCACGCCGCCCATGCCATACAAAGAAACTGCCGACGTTCGGTAATTATTTAGTTTTTATGCCATTCGAATTGACTTCGTATATACTGTACAAAATGATTTCGATGTTTCACATCTGCCAGGCGTCTTGTGACGGCTCAATTTTTTTTTATTATTTTATACTCATTTTTTCAGCTTTTTGTCATTATTTAAATTTCAATCCGCTCATCCGATTATCCGCTCCAGTTATAAATTTAATATTTCACTCATTTTCATTTTATTTGTTCTTCCATATATTTAAAAAACACTATTTCAAGTAATAGAAGTCCAAATTTGTAACATTCATATCTGTCATAATTGTTCAATAAATTATAGCGTTAAAAACTTCGATAAACTCAAAGAGTCCGTGTTTGTTCCATAACTGCAAGTAAATAATATTCGTGGAATCTGTCAGCCGTCCATGCAAGACACCCAACTTCAGCTTATGAGAAATGACATTTGTTGAATGTTATGATGTACAAAAAATATCTTTTAAAATTCTTGATTAAATGGTCCTAATCATCCCATAGCGTAGGAATTAGTACTAGACATTTGCTGATGATGCATACTTGGTTATCGAAACGCGCGTCGAGAGACAGCATTTTTGTTCTGGTGAGGAAAAAGATTAATTTTTACACCAGAGGTTCCAAATTCTACTTATCAAATCACACATTTTATAGGAAAAGTAAGCTCAAACATTTGCGAACCATAAATGACATATAAAGAGTTTTCATTGAAGTTATATATTTTTTTTCTTTGGAAGTTTCTCACATTTTTTGTTTAATGATGGAGAAGCAGAAAGGTTTGAAAGATTTGAAAGGTTTTCCTCACAAACACTGAGAAATGATATAGATAATACAATATAGATAATACAATTAACATGCATAATTATTTAAAAATTACAGAATGTTCAGTAGAAAATGGCTGAGAACTCTGGTTGCGATATATGAAATTACACTGAATTCCGTTATTCTAAAATACGCCAGATAGTCATTTGCTTTATCTGCATATGGAGAGAATTTATTGTTTTCAGTGGAAATAGCTTTTTATGGCTCAAAACAAAGTAGTTAGTGGAAACGCGTTAAATGTATTAACGCGAATTGATATCGACCGGAGTACCGGAGTTCTAAATTTACTGCTTTTTAAGTAATGGAAACTTACATTCAAAAAAACCCTCACCAATTGAGTGTAACAAAGTCAACAAATAACGTTACATGTTTAAAGAGCGACTCAGAGTTCGGAATTTGGGTATTCAAGAGATAGTGGAACTGTGTTGAAGCCATTTTTCGACTTTATCGAATGTGGTTTGCAGGTTTTCATGTCTAGAGTTTCGTCTACGACTGCAGAGAACATTATCAAAGGTGATGCAGCAACTAACGACGTGTTCTGATTATTCTCAAAGTACGAGTGTATGAAAACACCTGGCTCTCTGAATTAAAGAGAAATTATCGCTTGAGGCAGACCTACCAATAATATAGCAGTAGCGGGACATGTAATTAGAAGAGGTACCCACATGATCGCGTTTGAAAAGAAGTTAGAACTCAGAGGTATCATCCAAGACTATATAGATATATCAACAGTGAGAAAGAAGAAATTAACATTGATAACATCTGACTACCTGCACTCAATTACTCATGTATCATGTCATTCAATTCAACCAGTAGAAACGAAACCACGAGCACCACCAGTGGAATAAAACCGAAGAAGCAAACCAATAGGTACCTTTGTACCTGCTAAAAGTACATTTAGTATACTTCGTCCGTTGCCTCATCGCCATTGGTCATATTTACCGCAGTTGTAAACGAAACCTACATAATGAAAATTGGTCAGAGCCACGTTAACCAATGATTGTTTAAAGTTTTAGACTTCCATTGTCTGAAATTGAAAAAAAATAAAGTGGTGAAGTATCAGCGAAGTTATTTGTTGATAATTTGAAGAGACACGGTAGCTGGAAGTCTACTAATGTTGCTAAGGGAATTCAGACAATTTACTTACAAATATAATTGAAATTGACCAGACCATTCAAAAATTATCAGATGAAAGCAATCAACATGAAACAGAAACTTTACCTTCTTGTTCTGACTTTAACAAAAAGCATTTGAATAAACCAAGCATTTCAAATAAAATGAATTATTGATTGCTAGAATTTTCATATAAATATTAACATAAATAAGAATTAGAATGTTTCTGTTAGTACCTGCTTTGTTTGAATTTCAGTATTCAATACAAATAAGAATTGAAATATTCGAGATTTTGTTCTACAAAGACATATATCAAAGAAATGTGTTTCACTGATTTGTTATTCTACACGGTTGCCGATCACATGTATAAACTAAATTCAACTTGTCAACTTGTCTTTCCAGATGTCAAATATATTTCGCTCCATTGACTCTGTGATCACGTGGTATTATCTGTTCTTTTTATCATCCAATATCTTTTGTTCCCCATATGTAAATGAAATGTTTCACAGACAATTAATTCTGGCCAATATTTCATGGGAAAGAAACAAATGCAGGACGGTTGTTGAACGGGAAAACTGTATTCGAAGAACTTATTGAATGCGGTTGAGCCGTTTCTTCAGAACTTTGCATACATGACGAGAATAATACGTTTGTTGAAAATGTACGAAAACGGATCGGGACAATATATCATTCAATTGATCGCCAATTCTAGTAGTTTGGCTAACATGATGCTTCATTAAAATTCCGATGAGACGTAATGTGTTTTATATAAATTTTGATTCGTTCATTTTATACTTTTGGTTTATTTCTCGGACGTGAAAAATTTCGAACTGAAATCATTTCAATTTTTTTTATAACTGTAAATCGTCTCACAAGGTTTTATTTCTTTAGGTAATAAATATAATACATTATACAGCTGCAGAGCCACGACTTCACAAAAATGAAAATGTATTTTATGGCCGAATTCTCGTATATATAGTATTAAGCCTAGTTTGCCCTCAAGCTCGCTCAATTCGTGAATTGTATATGCACCTTTACAAACAACAAGCTTGAGTTTGCGAAAAGTGAAGCCCTCTGCTTTGGCGGCTAAGAGCCTTAACATGAGCAGTTATGATCCTAACCTAGCTTTCTGTCTCCGATAAGAACACTTTAACTCAAGATTTTACCTACAAATAACATATTTTATATACTACAATCATGACAAGATATTTTAAAGGCTGTAAACTAAAGGTAATGATAAAATTGCCACAAATTTACGAGAAAACTATAATTAGGTAGTTTGCCAAAGTGGAAATGTTACTTACCTACTCGTTAATTGCAATGCCATATTGAATATAATTATTAATTATACATATTTATATGAAAGTTTAGCCGTTTGGA